AGTACAGGTACGTGTACCGTTACACCCCTAATTGATTGATATGATTGCGATTTAAATCAGCATATACTTCTGTCAGGGGATGCCACCCCTCAAAATCTCCTGCCACCCTCTTGCCACCCCATGAATATTTGTCTAGATCCGCCCCTGTTTATACCCCCTCCCCCGTGTAGTTCTTCTTCTCTCGTTTTTTTTTGTACTCGCCGTAAAGTGGTTTTGCGGCCTGCGAGTAAACCCAGAGAAGAAGAAGACGAAGTGACGTCAGCGTAATCTTGCCTCAGGGAAAGTACTGCGGTGTGAATGTGATTGGCACTAGCCCCCTGGCGGATTCAGTGCCGTGGTACTTTAGTGCCGTGGTACTTTAGTGCCGTGGTACTTTAGTGCCGTGGTACTTTAGTGCCGGCACTAAAGTACGGCAAGTCCTGCGGTGTGAAAGCGGCTACTGACAACCTTGGAAAAAGGGAAACAAGACTTGTACTGCTCTTAGGTCACGTTTACACGGAGACGGAACGGGTTGTATCCGCTTCAGTTCTCTATCGCAGTGGTTCTCAAATGGGGGTACGCGGACCCCAGGGAGTACTAAAAAATAAAACGTAATTAATGCATTTAAACAAACTACTAATAGTAGATACTACTTTATTCAAAAGTTTACCGTAATTCTGGATAATAAAATGGGAAAAATAAACGGGGCGCTCTCTTTTCCTCTCCCTCTCTTGACAGCTGGTCAGGCTCATGCAGCTCGCTGAACCTGTAATAAGTGACTCGACAGTAAAGAATACATATATTTATAACTAGTTTAGCTTGTTCCAGAGTAGATAAGCTAGCTAAGTGTGTTAGGTCTAACTCTTAGTGTATTTTGCTCCGCTCAACGGTCCGTCACAGCAGCGGAGCTGTGATCATGCAGAGCTGCGTGTTCTCCGTCAGCAGCAGCAGCTGATCTGATCTCTCTCTCGCGTCCGGTTATACTTCACTCGCGTTTATCTCCAAATCTATCAGATAGCTAGTTCTAGTTAATGATATGACTGCCTGCTTATCAAAGGACATAAATAATAAGCGTTGCTTGGCAACGGCGTGTGGCCGCAAAGTATAGCGCAGCATTATGCATATGAGGGGTCAAAATCCCATGCTCATAAAATGCTACTATATCTTTTTCTCTTCATTCCCCACGCCCCAAAATAAATGATTATACACATTTTAGGAAAAGTAAGGAAGTTTGAGCAGTGTGGGTTTTATATGAACAGAGTTACACATATTTCAAAACGCGAAGTGTAATAACTGCAGTTTGCCTCCCTGTCAGAATGACAAAGATCCTCAGTGAAGCACAAGCCCATGTTTCACTATATTGTAAGTACAACTTATTAAAAACATCAGTTCAATGCAACTAATGTCGTCTTAGTGTTATTGATGTTAAAATTGGTTTGCCATGAATTTAGTGATGGATTGTAAACATTTGAAATGTAGCATTTAAGTGTTTCTCAGTTACAATGTTGTTGTTTTAATGAATCAGACACTGATGGTGCAGCGCTGTACTGTACCTCTTTATATAAGCTTCTTGTCCCTAACAAATAGTTTTTGCGCTGATCAGGGGGTACTTGGCTGACATTTTTCTTTCAAAGGGGGTACATTATTGAAAAAGGTTTGAGAACCACTGCTCTATCGTATGGACGGTTCGTTAACACAAGGCCGTAACGGAACTGCGGAAACGGTGGGTAGATCTGCGGACGGAACGCTCTGGGGGGCCAACCGGCTCCGTGTGTACGCCCTATACGCCATAGCCCCGCCTCTCCCCACCTCTCCTGCTCATCCCCGCGTCACCCACCCGTCATTGCTGATGTGTTTCGCCAACAACAATAACAGTGTTCTGAGTGTTTCGAGCCAGGTATCTCGCAGGACAGTGCATCCAGCAGGAGCCTCCAGCAGACCCCCCCGCACGGTTCCCTCGTCCCTTGGAAGAGGCGGAGAGGTGGGTGTTTTTCATCTGCTGGTGGAGTACCGGGGAGAACGTCCTGCTCGGGAGCCAGGCTCAGAGTTAGTGGCTGTGGGTGCAGTGCACCTGCCTTTTACAGCAGGAGCACACGCTCGCCTCGGGGAGGGAGAAAAAGAGAAACAGAGCCCTGCCTCTCCCCACCTCTGCTGCTCCTCTACCACAACCATCAGCAACAAGTGGACATGGAGAACTACATGAACTACATGTTGCTAAATCCACCGCAGAGAATAAACAGAAGGGCAACCAGGCAACCATGGCAACCATGCTATTAGGTATAAGAGGTTGTCCCTTGTTTGTGCCCTGAACTGATTATTATAGAGACATAATGATATCCATTACATAGCTGAAATCACTTTTTTAATTACGTCACACATTCCTACCAATGAACAGACACTAACTGAGTGTAGTCACAGACCCGTAGTATAACCGTAGTATACCCTTGTTTGTATAATCCTGCCTTTCTACCTATAATGAAGAATTGTTAGTATTTGGACCTTGTTTTCATTTTGCTTGCCTCAGTGTAGGAGGAGAACTACAACTGTTCAAACTCTATCTGCACCTACACTTTCAACTGTATAAACTTTATTTTACTTTCAATGGATGAATTTGACATTTTTAGGCTATGACACACTGGTTAATACCTTGGGATTGGTTTCCTAACACAGCTTCATACAACATAGAATGGTGAGATATTCAAGGTTACTGTCTGGGACTGGTGTTAGGAGTTCTGCTTTAAGGGAGGGAGGGCCGCCAATCAGATGCAGAATTCACAGACCCAGCACTGTTTGCTCTGACTTCCAGACTCTTGTCAAGTTCATGTACTCTGTGATCTTGAGTCCTTTCTGAGAAAGTTTGTTTATTCGTAATGAATACTCAAAGACAACTTATTGAGTAGATTGACTTTGTTTGAATAGCATCATTCCTCAGACTGCAAGGAATCTGGGTGTGACCCTAGATAACAACCTGTCCTTCACTGCAAACATCGCTGCTACAACCCGTTGCTGCAGATACACGCTTTACAACATCAGGAAGATACGTCCCCAGCTGACTCAGAAAGCCACTCAGGTTCTGGTCCAGGCTCTCGTCATCTCACGCCTAGACTACTGCAACTCCCTCCTGGCTGGTCTACCTGCATGTGCCATCCGACCTCTGCAGCTCACCCAGAATGCAGCGGCTCGTCTGGTCTTCAACCTTCCTAAATTCTCCCACACCACTCCGCTCCTCCGCTGCCTTCACTGGCTTCCGGTAACTGCTAGAATCCACTTCAAGACACTGGTACTTGCTTACCGTGCTGCGAATGGATCTGGCCCTTCCTACATCCAGGACATGGTTAAACCGTACACCCCAGCACGTGCACTACGCTCTGCATCAGCCAAACGACTCGCTGCGCCCTCGCTGCGAGGGGGACCCAAGTTCCCATCAGCAAAAACACGTGGGTTTGCTGTCCTGGCTCCAAGATGGTGGAATGAGCTCCCCATTGACATCAGGACAGCAGATAGCTTACACACCTTCCGGCGCAGACTGAAAACTCATCTCTTTCGACTCCACTTCGAGCGTTAGAACTATTAACAAAGCACTTATATACTAATAAAGGACTGGCTTACCTAAAGCCAGTTGAGTAGCACTTGAAATGTTTTTGCTCTATGAAACCTGATGTACTTATATGATTCTGTTTTCTTCAAGTTGTATTTTGTTGGACGAACGCACTTATTGTAAGTCGCTTTGGATAAAAGCGTCAGCTAAATGCAATGTAATGTAATGTAATCATTTCTACCACAACACTTGATAAGAAGACATAATACTTGATGAATGCAGTGCAAAAGATATTCAGAATTATGGTTCCAAGCCAATTATGCCAACATTTTAAGTAGATCTTCTAACTTTTTCAATGGACAACATTGTCATGTTTTATGTTACAAAAAAGGTTCTCAATTCAAATTTCAGAGCATAAATATAGCAGCCAACTATTAAGCTATGTAATGATAAATTGTGAATGTGAATTGACTTCACTAGAGGCAAATGTTTTTTGTCCCTTCACTGGCTTGGAAAGGAAATGAATTGGAAAAGAATGACAATTTTGCGCATATATGTCCGTGGCCTTAAACTGTAGGAACCCTGGTAAACATTTGTTTTTTACCAGAAATGATTATCTGACTACTGTTTCACATCTTCTAGCGTTCCTATTGAACTTTCCATCGCCATATTTGTACAATTAACTGTGTTTTCATTACTTACCTCAGTACAAATGAATTATTCTTCAATGGGCTCTGTATGTAATTTAACACAAGTGATCATGTGAAGGTCAAATATAAATTGTGTTCACGGTTTACAGAGTTCATGCATAGATCGTGAGATCAGTGATGACAATTACAAGAATGTGATCTTTGGAGCGTCCAATGTCTAAAGCCTTACATGTAATGTAATGGTAGTGTAGTGCATATAACCCTTCCTCTTCCTGTCATACAGGTTGATTGGAGGCTAAGTTCAAAAAGAGATCAAATACCTTTCTCCATGAGGCACAATCTGCAGGCCTCCTCCTCATTGATAATCTAATGCTACTCACTGCCAGCAGTCAGTGAACCACAGACGGCAGCACCCCCCACTACAGAGGGCTGCTCTCAAAGACCTGTAGGACAACTGGGCATTTTGATAAAAGACATAGATTGAGCAGTGGGTCGTTTACTGGTTAATACAAATAGTCACAAAAAGTCTCAAATGACCTCTTCCAAGTTTGAATAATTCACTGAATCAAAAAAATGCTAAGAGAAATTCTCCCCTGGTTTAAAAAAATAAAGTGTGTGCTCTTTGGACATCAAAGATATTTGAGCTATCCTTCTAAATATGGATCAAATCAAACTCCAAAGCAAAACCTTGTTGATTGTTTGATAGTTTGATTTGCTAGTACATAGGCTTATAATACCTCTACCAACAGTAATAATAATAATAATTCCTTACATTTATTATAGCGCTTTATCAATGACTCAATGACAGTAAAAGCAGCTATTGTTTTTTAGGTTTTGGACTAAAGCTGAGTCGTGAGAGACAACCAAGAGTAGATCTGTGAAAGTGACATTTTAAGGACTTAATATACTTGAGGGGTTTGCATACATCTTTAGTGTATCATAGACAACAGAATTTAGTCCAAAAACCAAATTGTTACTTTTTAATTATTCAAACTAAAACAGGGAAAAGTGTTCAACCTCTCCAATTGCCTAAAGGTTTTTCTAGATCAACACATGGCTGGTTTTGGTTGTAGAATTTGATAAAAAAATAAATAATTGGAAACTGAAATGTAGAAGAGGTAGAGCCTGGTTGCAGTATCGAGACCTGCATAGTTTTTTTGCTGGACATATAAGAGAGATCCTTGAGAGGTTATTGACAGAGAGAGTTTCTTTCTGTCAATAACCAATTCCTCCTGGGATCAGTGTGCTCTACTGGCAGTGCAGTCAATGAAACAGACCTGCAGACAGCAGCTGGAAGTCTTGAGCAATTTAAGAAAATACTGTAGTTTTCACAGCGGGAGGAACCCTGTACGTGTTCAAATATGGCTGAGCTCTGATGTCGGGTGGATGGGTTCGCCTGCTGGTTGCTGACTGTGAGCCTGCAATGACTCAGGAGGAGGATGAGGGAGGGAGGCATCAGTCAGCAGATTTTCTGCTGTGAGGGAGGGGCTACTGAGGGGAAACCCTGCTCTCACTCCGCCCACTCCTTCTTCTCTGGTTAAAGATTGATGGCATGAATTAATTTCCATGCAGCAATCCTTTTCTCCATTGGCTGAGAGGCTCATTCCACGGCTTGACGATTGAACCTGCTAGTATGGGCTGCAGTGATTGGTCGGGCTCAGCTGCAGTGAGGATGCAGGTTTCTGCAGGTTCTCTTTACTGCATTTCTTTGGCTGCTGCTAGTGAAGCCGGCCAAATGGCAAATCCTGACTGCTGGTGCTGCTCAAAATAATTCATCAATCCAACAAGAAGTACTTGCAGTTCGAAATTCTGGGTCATTCCTCAGAAGTAACACAGCAAGAGCTGGATATGAGAATTTAGTTTTTATCCTGCTGGTTTTTTATTTACGTCTATCGACCTGAGCCTGGCTGTCTGTCAACTGAGTGATGTAATGAGAAAAGATCCAGTAAGAAGATGAGACACTGAGCTGGACCAGTGAGGTGGAAGAAAGAGGAGAACTCAGTCCCACGCTGTCCTCAGCTGACCTTTCCACACCTTTCTGCCATTGCATGTCTTTGATTTCAGCCAGCAGTACACAGTGAAGTTTTGTTGCTGTGAGACACAGTTAGTCCCAGCTTGAGTATGATGGAGGGGATGCTTACTTTCCTGTGCCAGAGGCTTTTTGGCAGGACGCAGTGTCAGCCTGCTGATCCTCAGTTGCCAGGGGAGAAAGAGACAGAGGCCACTGGGAACTGCAGAGAGGAACATACTGTGCCCTCCTTCGACAGTAAAGAAATCAGCAGGACTGAAAGTCCAAAGAAGAACACCGTATATATCCTTGTGGCACCTCCTACGGTTCTTCAACAGGTAGGATAAAGCAGGAGACTGGACTTCTGACCTTTTTATCCATCACTAACATTAGGACAGAGTTTTAAATTGTACTGTGAGATTTCTCGACATCTCCTGGATGTGACATTTCAGAGCAACGCTGTTCCCAAGTACAGCCTCCCAGAGCTGCTGATCTCAGTGCTGTTGGTCTCTGTTTACCCAGCTCACTGAGCTAAAGGCTATTTTCCAGAAACACATTGCTCTGTACTCAGACATCTACACCTGGAAAGTACAAAGTGCAAACACTCTTAACCGAACAGCTCTACTGAAGCTGCAATAGGTACCACATTAGAGCAGTCAATACACAGCGGAATACTTTCGACTGCTAGCTGGAACATTTAGATGTTTAGACAGCTTATGCTTTAGCAAGATAAATATAGTGCCTATTGGTATACCTATCAGCATTTGATAGATTTGATTAGGGCTGTTGAAATGTGCATCATACAATTGAACATGATACAATCAGTATGGCTGCTTTTCATTTAGTGTAGTGTAGTTCCATCTGTGCTCTGATGATGCTTTTCAGGAATATGCCACAAAGAGAAAACAATCTTTCTTTATTGTAGTCCTTCAACCTACAGTTACACAGTGGAGGAAACCTCATGTGTCTGTATGTCCCAGCATCTAACTGAGACCACAGTGAGTTTGACTATTTGTTAAGGATTGGGGCTTTGCCAGTAAAAGGTGTCGTGTTGTACTGTGATAACATATGGTTACTCTAAAGACACATGTACAGTCAATAGCTATCAAGAGTGCTGCCATACAATGTAAGCTAGACCAATGGACTCGTCTCCATCCTGTGAGTTAGTTGTGCACATGGTTGTTTGTTTTCTGCTTAGTCCGTTTTTCCTCCTGGCTAACAGCACTAATGATTTGGGAAAGTATTGCTCAGGTGGATTCTGTGGAATATAGCAACATGTAGAGTACCACTTTGGTCTGCTCGTCCAGCTGTTCCTTCCCTCGGGTAGCCATTACCTGTCTGTGTGTATTCATGCTCCAGCTCACTGTTAATCCTTGTAGAAATCCTTCCAGTTGCTTTAGCAGGCAGAACATGGCAGGGACGGTCTTAGAGTACAGATAAGCTGAAATGTGTGATAGCTGTAAAGTGGTCTGAACTGCAGGCTGCGTCAACATTGCACAGATGACAGGAGATGGTGGAAGCTTCCACTCTGACCTTCTGTTTGTCACTGTCCACAAAGCTATGGAGGAATCGGCTAATATCCTTTACAGTCACTGTATGTACAGCTAATGCAACAAGCACTACTGAGAATCAGCCCCTCAAAAGCTTCTATTCTCTCCTTACAGAAAATAGTGAAAGCAGGAGACAAGGACCTGGACGGACAGTTAGACTTTGAAGAGTTTGTCCATTATCTCAGAGACCACGAGAAGAAACTCCGGCTGGTCTTCAAGAGTCTCGACAAGAAGAACGATGGTAAGGAATCTTCTTAGAATGTGTGTTAAAAACAGATAGGACAAATACATGATCACACTGTGTCACAGGATGGTTAAGTATTGCGTAATGAAGTATTGCACAAGAGGAGCAGAGCTTCAAGTCTAACCTCTAGACTTATTTTTGTGATGTAGGCCGGATTGACTCGCAAGAAATCATGCAGTCTCTGCGTGACCTGGGGGTGATCATCTCTGAGGAACAGTCTGAGAAGATCCTCAGAAGGTGAGAGAAACGCTGTGATCCACCTCTAATACACATCTTGGATTCACACTTCTGTTCATTCAGTGTGTGTGTGTGTTTCTTTGTTATGTCTCTCTTTAACTAATCATTACGTTTTAACTCGGCTGCTGTTCTTTTCTACTCCTTGTAAACTTCTAATATTCTATTCATTAGCAGCAACTGTCTCAGTGTGATCCTTGTCCAATCCCTCTAACCACCTCCTGTCTGTCCCCTTGTCTGTCTGTTCTTCTCTTTGGGTGCTCTCAGAATATGGAGGGGTCATATCTGGGCCCCTATCTTGTAGTAAGTAGCTTCTATAGTGTTAATCGTCAGTGCTAATCAGTCAGTCTAATTCAGTTACTGCAATTTATTTAGCTATTTCAGAATGACCAATGAACACAATGGAACAACTAAGAAATGCTGTGTTAATACAGTGCACAGAGTGCAAGCAAAGCATCCTGCAACAACAGAATGCACTTGAACTCATAGATGTTTGTTCTTCTCTTTGGGTCACAGTATCACAACTTTGGAGAAGTAACAGTGCATGTGAGCAGACTGCCATCTTTGTTCGTTCTACTCTCTAAAACTGTCAGATTCATAAAACTGTTTTATGTTCCTCCCCAGTATGGACAAAAATGGCACAATGACTATTAACTGGAATGAGTGGCGGGATTATCACCTCCTCCATCCAGCAGACAACATTCCTGAGATCATCCTCTACTGGAAACACTCCACGGTACACACTCTGCTTCAAAACCAACATTATGAGTCAAATCTCATCCCTCCTACTGAAATATACTGATAAATAAGTGTGAGCAATGCATGAGAAGAGCAAGAAGTCAATATGTCTCCAGGATGTCACGTTAGAAATTATAAAAATACTATAGAAACATAAATAAACGGGCACTAATAGATGCTAATTGTATTAGCTTGCTTACCCTGAGATATGTCCTCCTCAACCTACCACCCACAGAAAGTAATAATTAACCCCATGAACAATATTTAGCTTTGAACGGAGCAGATAATCAACCTTGTTTCACCTTCTGGAATTTTATAATGAATTCTAATAATGATAACACTGAATCCTTTGTTAAGCCCAATGGAGGATAACATAACCCCATACCACAGACATATTCATACAGCAGTTTGAACTGTATCACACCGCACCGGCACATCAGTGTGCTGATCAGAGAGGATGTGTAAGGGGTGGTGCCAGACTGGTAAATAAAATCATGTGACCACAAAGCTTTGCTCACGTTGGCTGTCTCCCCTTTATCATCAGCACTTAACCCAGAGGCATGTTTCTCTTTGACTAGTCCTGTGCGGGGACCCCCAGACATGCAGCTCAGTTGCATGTCCCCCCAGTAGAGACTTACCTCTGCTGATGCGTGCCGTGCACTACATCAAACTAATATTGTATCTCAATATCAGTTTGACAGAAATAGCAGCGTCTGTGTTTGATGGTATGAGTATGGTATACACTAACACCTTTATACTCTGCTCCCCCCTCAGATCTTTGATGTTGGTGAGAGTGTGTTGGTCCCTGATGAGTTCACAGCGGAAGAGAAGAAAACAGGAATGTTGTGGCGACATCTAGTGGCTGGAGGTGGAGCGGGCGCTGTGTCTCGAACCTGTACTGCACCACTGGACAGGCTCAAAGTACTCATGCAGGTGAAGCATAACACACTGATGACTTTACTAAACAAACGGAAGATATTGAGTGGTCACAGTGTGAAAACAAGTGGACTGTGTTTCCTCTACTGGGCTCCAGGTTCACTCCTCCAAGAGCAACAGCATGCGTATCTCTGGAGGCTTCATGCAGATGATCCGAGAGGGAGGTGTGAGGTCACTGTGGCGAGGCAACGGCATCAACGTCCTTAAAATAGCCCCCGAGTCTGCTATTAAGTTCATGGCCTACGAACAGGTTTGCCCCAATACAGCAATGACCCCAATAAGAGTTTTATTTCCCTCACATTTTGTGCTGTTGCATGACATAAACATTCCTGTCCGTCAGATTAAACGATTGATGGGAAGTAACCAGGAGACGCTGGGCATTGCGGAGCGGCTGGTGGCCGGCTCTCTGGCTGGAGCCATCGCTCAGAGCAGCATCTACCCCATGGAGGTTAGAGACCAGGATCACTAATGCCTTTACCAGAGAGACCTCGCTAACAAAAGAATTCTATTCATTTTCTCACTGTTTTGTAGCAACTGGTGTTTTTTTTTTGTATGCAGAAAGTGGATTATTTTTGTATTGCGACTGACTGCCCATTCGAACTTTTAGCCTTGAAACCATCATGTGAAACTGTACTGTGACCTCCTTTCTGGAGGAATCAGATCTTCACACGCAGACTCACAGACCTCCAGTTATGCACAAAGTGTGAGCAAGTCATTTATGTAAATGAGGTTCATAACACCCAAGCTATTTAAATGTGACAGATAATGCACGGCATATATATATAATAGTCTATGTTTGTTGGACAAAGTGGTGTTTTCCTTCACCTGTCAGAAGGCCTGACGACCCTCTCTGTCCACTCGCTCAGGTCCTGAAGACACGCTTAGCTCTGAGGACGACGGGCCAGTACTCGGGCATCGTGCATTGTGCCAAACATATCTTTCGGAAGGAGGGGGCGGCTGCTTTCTACAAGGGCTACGTCCCCAACATGCTGGGCATCATCCCCTACGCTGGCATCGACCTGGCAGTCTATGAGGTGTGTGGTGGTTGTCCTTCTGATGGCCTGTGGGCTACAACTGTCCCTGAGTCTGGTGGATTGTGTCCGGATGCTGCGGTACTGCCTGCCAACGGGAGCAGGCACAACAGTTTGTTGCTGGGGTGATGGTGATGATACCTTCTCTTTGTTGTGTGGTTGAAAGTGACAGCTGTCCTCCCCTCTGCAGACTCTGAAGAATTACTGGCTGCAGCGCTTCGCCACAGACAGCGCTGACCCGGGGGTGTTCGTGCTGCTGGCCTGCGGCACCACCTCCTGCACCTGTGGCCAGCTGTCCAGCTACCCCCTGGCCCTGGTCCGCACTCGGATGCAGGCACAAGGTCAGTCCCTGCAGAACTCTCCTGTAATGTACACAGTGGTGGAAGGTAAACAAGTATATTTACCCAAGTATTGTACTTAAGTACTTTTTTGTACACATTTGTACTGTACTTGCGTATTTAATTTTAATGCCACTTTATACTTTTACTATGCTACATTTCAGAGGAAAATATTGCACTTTTTACTATAAACATTTACTAGTTACTTTGTACAAAGAATTAGCATGTACTTTGTACATGCTAATATGGCATAATGCAATACGGTACTACTAATCTACGCAGTATTTCACGTGTCAACATTTGGTCCACAACGACAAACTACAATACTTAAATGCTCTTGAAAGTATAAAAACATTATAATATAATTACTATTATTATAACAAAGTACTAAGATCTATTCTGCATAAAAAGTACTTTTACTGTTGATATAATGCATTTAGTTGATAATACTAATTTTGTACTTTTACTTAAGTAAAGGATATGGGTTATTCTTACAACACTGACAGCTGCTGTCTGTTAAAAATGTATAAAGATATGATCAGGTTCAGGAACAGCCCCATCCATTATTCTTATTAGTCAGTACTTTTCTGTAAGGACTGTACCTATTGCTACAACATTTTAGTTTCTTAAATCTTTCTTACTAGAGCTGGACATAAGTTTCTTATATCAATTTTCCAAAAGTCTTAAAAATGCTAATACATGGAAAGTAGGGCTTTATGAATCCTACCCACAGTATGAGGTAACAGTAGCTAGTGCATGTACGAGTGCAAAACATTTTGCAGGTGCAAGTAGATTCCAAAATATGCTAATGGTAATGAAAGATATAAGAGCTAGAACTAAAATAAGAATACAGTTCTAAATGTAAAGTTGAAAATATTCACAGGTAGAAGGTAACTAAGTAGTTTTACTCCAGAACTTTACTTCAGTTACAATTCTGGGGAGTTGTACTTAAAGGTCCAGGTTGGAGCATCTGTGGTGTTTCAGGAGTCAACATGTGTTGGATCAGCCTGTCTCCCTCTGTTTTCCTCAGCTACCCAGGAAGGGGGCCCTCAAATGACCATGAGCACCCTGTTCAGACACATCATTAAGACCGAGGGGCCCTTGGGACTCTACCGGGGCCTGGCTCCCAACTTCATGAAGGTCATTCCATCAGTCAGCATCAGCTATGTGGTCTACGAGTACCTCAAGGTCCAACTGGGGGTCCAGTCAAAGTGAGGAGGGGCAGAGGCTGGAGGCTTTATGCGTTTGTTTTGAGCTGAAGATTTGCTGCGTTGGCCTCCAAGAAACATGCAGCTGACCCTCAACATATTCAAATCCATTATGAAATATCAGGGTTTGAAAGATAAAGGTGATGTGAATGAGAACCTGAAGGCAGAGAGGTTGATGAAGACTCGATTGAAGCAACTCATTGTAGTTGCTCTTTTAACTACAATTATCTTGCGCAATTCAGGGGACAAATGTTTACATGACATTCATGGCAGTAGTTTACTGGGGTACCAGCAACTTGCTAATGATATGTCAGGAGCTCCTGCTCAGAGTGAAGGAAGAATCTTTGTCTTAAAGGGCTCTGCCACAGCACATCACAAACACCGTTCATGTTTTTCTTTCATATCACGTGTGCTCTCAGGCTCTCTGAGTTGGCCGCTTGCTGCAGCCACAAGGACAACGATACAGTAGCTGTAGTTTAGTCATTCATACACACACAAGATTGAATCAGGACCATAACGTTGTTTATGGAACATAACATTTCCTTTTTGTTTTCCAAGGTCCACTGCTCCTTTAGTTGCTTTAAATCCATTCAGGTCCATTCAGTCAGTTGTTTTAGGGAGTGAGATGTGAGCCAGCAGGAAAGCAGCAACATGTCTCATCATGATGTGACTTCCTTTGTTTAACAATGATACTCTGGACAGCATGTTTTTAGGATTATATTTTGTGCTTTTTGACCTTATTATTCAGTCCAGAACAGGAGAGACAGGAAGGGGAGGACATGCTTATTATTCAGTCCAGAACAGGAGAGACAGGAAGGGGAGGACATGCAGCATTTGTACTGTTAAGGGAAACATTGTGAGATTAAGTTGACACTGCACATTCTGTATTTTTAAGAAGTAGCAGTATCAAATGTTGAGTTTAGTGTCACTCCTATGGGTGTGTACTCATGGGACACACCTCCATTCTTCCTTATTCCTGTACAAAATATCAGTTATCATATGTTTTCTTTTGAAGCAGGCCCCCTCTATACAGGTTTCAAATGAGTCATCAGGAAAAAATGTCTTAGCTCGTGGCATTTGAATATTTCACCAGCTTGTCGGCTGAAGACATTTCCATTTTCTCTTGTACGAAGTGAATACAAGTGCTTCATTTGACCTGCTCTCTGACTGAAGCTGCAGACCCACGAGTGCCTTGTGTGCCTCTTACTTAAATGCACTTGAACACTATTAGAGGGGAAGTCTGTGGAACATTGAATGCACTTTAAGGTACTCCGCTTTAACTCCTGATTTTATTATTAGTAATGTATTTATGTATTTATTTTTACAAAAAAAGATTCATGACTGCATTTGTGATATATTGGTTATGCTGAATAAATAATAGTCTCTTTGATTTCAGAGTAATCCGTGGTCTTGGTGAAAATCTGAGAACTGGAAGTAATAGAAGGAATCTGACATGGTTTCAAAGAAATAGAATGTTCAATACAAAGTTAAACAAAAAAGGAAACAATAATGTGAATAAGTGGAGTAGAATATTTAAATCAACCAATATTTTTGTGTAATAGTTGGAAAATGATTAAAACTCAACTAATTATTGGGAAATGTGTTTTTGTCATCATTGATATGTTGTCATGTGTAGATGCAGTTGCAACCACAGTATCAACACACACATATCTATATGTCCCTCTCCACATACAGTCTCCTCCAAAGCTGTTGGAACAGCGAGGCCGACTGCTTTATTTGAGCTGTACACTGAAAACAATTAGGTCAGTATTTCAGATATTTACATCTAGATCTGTTAAACAACTGAGAAGAAAGCATCTTTTGTTTAAACCCACCCATTTTTCATGTGAGCAAAAGTATTGGAACAGAGACTTAAAGTAATAATACTTAGTATTTAGTTGCAAATCCGTTGCTTGCAATAACTGCATCAAGCCTGCGACCCTTTGACATCACCACACGTTTGCATTCTTCTTCTTTGTGATGCTCTTCCAGGCTTTCACCGCTGCCTCTTTCAGCTGCTGTTTGTTTCGGGGGGTTCTCCCTTCACTCTCCTCTTCAGCAGGTACAATGCACGCTCAACAGGGTTGTAGTCTGGAGATTGACTTGGCCAGACCTTCCACTTCTTTCCCTGATAAACTCCTTGGTGGTTTTGGCAGTGTGTTTTGGTCGTTGTCTGGCTGCACGATGAAGGATCTCCCGATCAGTTTGGTTGCATCTCTCTTTAAATTGGCCGACAACATGTTTCTGAAGACTTCTGAGTTCATTTAGCTGCTGCCATCATGTGTTGCATCATCAATGAAGATCAATGAGCCCGTCCAGAAGAAGCCATGCAAGCCCAAGCCATGACATCACCTCCACCGTGTTTCACAGATGAGATGTGTGTTTGGGATCATGAGCAGATCCTTTCTTTCTCCACACGTTGGCCTTCCATCACTTTGGTAAAGGTTCATCTTTGACTCGTCAGTCCATACAACTTTGTCCCAGAACTGTTGAGCCTCGTCTCTGTACTTTTTAGCTAATTCAAATCTGGCCTTCATATTATTATTGTTAATGAGTGGTTTGCATCTTCTGGTGTAGCCTATGTACTTTTGTTCCCAAAGTCTTCTGTTAACGGTGGATTGTGTTGTGTTCAAAATTCCAGGAAAGACAGACGACTTCTAAATGTAACTATTTATTATGAGAGAGCCAAATATATTTATCACTTGGCCAAGGACTCCGTCACGTCATAGAAATTACAGGTAGCAAATCTGTAATCTGTAACCACTATTTTTCCGGACAGGAGCCCCGAACCTCGTGCGTGCATAGGTGCATACATTTTTATTACACAGGGCGTTGCCCATACATTTATGATTGGTCAAGACTAGAAGGGGAGGGCCGTGGTTTAGACTTTGGCCTCTCTGGTTGGTGCACAGACTTAGCAGTGGCAGTCTCTTGGCAACACGACCTTCCAATCAGCAATCGGCCTGTGGAAGTCCCTCCCTACTCTGTCGCTATCCCAATCATTTGTTTTGCTGAAGCTTCTGCAGAAAAGTGGAATCTTGGTTATACTGATTCCCAGCTATGCGTGGGCGTGGAGCTAACCCAGGCGGCCAAGGCCATATAGCCTCAATAACTCATTGTTTCTACAGTGCCTTGCACCTGGCTACATTATTGCAAGCTTAAACTCTCATATGACTGTGTGTGACCTGGGATTAGTGATTGGGTCTATTTATTTTATAGTCATAGCAATCTTATGAACACAATAAGCAAATAATAAGAATCAATCTTGTAATGTTATATAAAAATAGACTCCACAATTGTGACACCTTCGCTCCTGCCCTCTGGAGGTTGTTGGTGATGTTTCTTTACAGTTCTCACAATGTTTCTGTCATCAGCGGCTGATGTTTTCCTTGGTCGACCAGTTTGAAGTCTGATGCTCAGTACACCAGTGCTTTCTTTCTTCTTCAGGACATTCTAAATGGTTGTACTGGCTATGGCCAACGGCTCTGATGGATTTTCCATCTTCTCTCAGTTTCAAAATGGCTTGCTTTTCTCCCATAGGCAGCTCTCTAGTCTTCATGTTGGTTACACCGTTGTAACTATAAATGCAGTCTGCACAGGCAAAACCCAAAGCTCAAACTGAGAGTAGACATGCAGTGCATTTTAGTGTTTGAATAATCAATGTAGCAGGACACACCTGGGCAACAAAAAACACCTGTCAGTAACATGTTCCAATACTTTTGCTCACATGAAAAATGGGTGGGTTTAAACAAAAGATGCTTTCTTCTCAGTTGTTTAACAGATCTAGATCTAAATACCTGGAGTAAAAAGCTGAAATACTGACCTTTTGTCTCATATTCATCTTCTGATGTCAAACCTAATTGTTTTCAGTGTACAGCTCAAATAAAGCAGTTGGCCTCGCTGTTCCAATAGTTTTGGAGGGGACTGTATGCATGTTTGTAGCTTGCTATTGCATTCATGTGTTTGTTGCATTTTACTGCTGTATACTTATACATTGCGGTGATACATCATATAAAATCATGATTGTAGCTTGGTTGCTGTCCTGTCAGAACCACGTATCTATACACAGCAGTGGTGGAAAAAGTGTTCGTATTCTTTGCTTGAGTAAAAGTACTACCGCACTGTGAACATACTACATTTCTAGTTTCAAGTGTTGTGTACCAACATATGAATTTATAAACTATCTGTAAATAAAATGTAGTGGAGTAGAAATATAAAGTAGTATAAAATGAAAATACTTGGGTAAAGTACAACAAGTGATTCAAATGTGTACTTAAGTACAATAGACTACTTATGTAAATGTACTGAGTTGCTTTGCACCCCTGCTATACAGTCTTGAGTTCTCAGCAGCCTTGCTTTCAGCTTTGTGATGATGCATTTCCAGCTGATCACATTAAACACTAGAGTGTGCAATTTGCAGACGGTCCCTGGGCAGCTTGGCTCAATTACTCTGCAGTACATACGGAGGAATGTGATTAGGCTGACGGTAAACGGGGAGCAGCAGTCGGTACAGAGAGCCGGGCAGACGCTGAGTCAGCACAGCTTCCCCGGTCCCGTGTCTCTCTGCTGACGGAGAGGGCGTGTCCACAGCTCGGTTCGAAGGGAGCTGTTTCCTCCTAAACCTGCAGACCGTGGTGAAGTTAGTTTTAGGTTGGATATTCGACAGACATTCGCGGACCCGCCAGCAGTTTCCCCTGCTGCTGGCGGGAAATCTTCTCCGCGAAACGAGGCTTTCACTTAGGGACCATCAACAAATTACTTTTCAATTACACAAGAACAATGTTCTTTTTAATAAATCGACAGCTTCCCGATCGTGTGAATGTGAAGCAAATCCACTCTAGAGCATACATTTGTTGAACACACTTCTTTTTATTGCATTTTAATACTTTAAATACATTTTATTAATATTTTGATGGACAAATTAGCATATTTCTTCAATAACTGCTAGGTCATGTGACCTCAGGGCCGGACTGGAACAATAAGTCAGGCCGGGAATTATACACCCAGCCAGGCCACTACCAGTTTTGTGCCATTTTGCTGGATTTATTTGTGAATATTTACAGCGTTGCTGCCCATAGTGAGAGCCCTATAGTTTAAATCTACTACCCAATAATAAACATATGGACATGGGTTACTATTTAAAAAATGTGCAAATCTATTTAGGAACCTATTCATGTGAATATATTTTAAGTGGGGGTGGACTTCAAATCCTCTAGGGGGGTCCGGGGGCAAGCTCCCCCAGTAAGATATTATTTTAATTTTGGAGTTAAATGCATCAATCTGGTGCATTTTGAGGGGAAAATAAAGAGACTAGATCTATGGAAACACCCATATGAAACAGAACTGTATACATTTAAATAATCATAAAATCATAAGAACATGGCAATAACCAATAACATACAATATATATATATAATTTAAATAAATAAATAAAAACACTTTGTTTTGTTTAGAAAATTCTCCTTTGCTGCCGGCCCGTCTCTCCCCCATTCTCATTGAGTATTTTACAAAGAGTGAAACAAACAGCGCCCTTCTAGATGTCATGGTGAAACAGTAGATTGCATTCAATGTTGTGAGAGGAGGCCAGCCGAATCTGGCTTCCCTTGGTGAAAAAAAATGGAGGGATTGACCAATCAGATGAGGCCCATGTGATGCCCCTGCCATGCCCCTGCCAACCTGTGATTGGTCAGGGCCATGCCAAGGGAAGCCAGCCGCCTCTTGCTTCCCTTCAGAGGCGGCTGGCGGCTGGCGATTTGATTGGACACTGCCATCCAATCAAATCACATCAACATCAGTTTTAATACTGTAACTGTCATCACCGCCGTTAGAAATTATCAAGCAAATGAAGCATTATGGAGGGAGGAGATTTGGCGTACTTAATCAAACATAACTTTACTAAACTTCCGCTACAGCAGCAACTAAAAATTAAATCAGATGACAGGCCAATGCCCACACTCGAGCTGTGTGTACACAGAGGAAAAAGGGAGCGAATCGGACGTTCAATGAGGACAATTATGTCCGCACGGAGTGGCTAACTGTAAGCGCTAAACTTCAGCGTCTATTTTGCTGGCCATGTCTTCTTTTTGACAAGGATTCATGCTCCCTGAACAATCCTTGGGCAACTTCAGGATTCATCGACCTTGCCAACCTGTCACGGGCAATTGAGAGGCACGGTAAATCCAAAAATCACATAGATTGTGCTGTGAAATTGAAGCTGTTTGGACGCGTCAGGATTGACGAGGCTCTGGATTTAGCAAGAACCATTAGCACAAAGAAGCACAATGAACAAGTAAAAAAGAACCGGTATATTCTGAGGAAACTCATCATTGCTGCCCTGTACCTTGCGCGTCAAGAACAAGCATTCAGGGGACACAATGAGGCCGCTGGCAGCTCTAACAGGGGCAATTTCGTGGAGCTGGTACGTGCATTTGCAGAGTTTGACACTGCACTTGCGGAGCACTTGGGATCGTCAACAGTCTTCAGCGGTATGTCAAACACCATACAAAATGACATCATTGAAAGCATAGCTCGTTCTATCCAGGATGAGACGGATAAAGAAATACACATTTCTCCTTTCATTGCTGTACAAGTGGATGAGA